TAAAATATAGTTCAAATAAAATATATAACTGATAAATAATGATATTCGATAAAAGCAGAATAGTCTTATAAAATTATTTGATTGAACTATTATGTATTGTAATTTGATATTTTATAGTCTGAACATATTTTATTAATTGTTATTATTATACATTGTATTTTGATATCAAATAAATTGTATGTAAAATAATGTAAATAATAAAAATGTGAAACAGTAGCTGCATTCAGCAGAGAAAGCAGTTTTGCAACTGTAAAATTCTTCAATACAATGGTTCTTGCTTTTGATTCTTTATGGATCTAAATGTGTAAATCAATTATATTGAAGAATTTTATAACAGTTGTAATGCTGCTTTCTCTGCTGAATGCCGCCAATATATCATGAAAAGAAGACCGCCGATCGGAATCGGCGGGGGTGGTGGAGGGCTTCTATAAGGTTGATCCGTTTTTATTGAATAAAATTTGAATTTAAATTAATTTAAAATATCACTTCATTTATAAAAAGGAAATTGTGAAATCTTAGGCTGCATAATAAGTATTGTATTATACTATGGTATTGATGGTAAATATGCGGAGTAACCTTATAAAGGCTTAACTATTTATATATTTGTAATTTTATTTCTTAAATTATAATTAATATTACATGCATTGTATTTTGATATAAAAGAAATTGTATAAATGAAAAATATTAAATTAAAAAATGAAAAAGATATGTGTCCAAAGTAGGAATGGAAATGCTACTTGCATTACTATTACTTTTTATAATAACGATTTTTTTTTGTAATAATGTTGCAATTTTTTAAAACGATAATAACTAGCATCAGGATTGAAAAAGCCATTTTTGAAAAGTAATTCGTTACATTTGTTTATTGAAAAAATAATTCGTTACATTTGTCGTTATATAATAGCGAGTAACGAGTAACATATTAGTGTAACGCACTACTTTTTACCTTTTTACTAATAAAATAATGAGTTACGTATCTTTTTCAATAAATAATTCATAATGAGTTATTAATAACAAATTACTTTTCAAAAATAATTTTCCCAATTTTAGTTTTAGTTACCGTTATAAAACATTGTAACGTTACCAAATCGTTACTATAAAAAAGTAATGATAACGATATTTACAACTAATGCATTATTTCCATTCCTATAGTCCAAAGAGGACCGCCGATTAGAATTGGCGGGGGTGGTGGAGGGCCTCTACAAGCAATTTTATTTTTGCCAGATTATCTGAAAGATGTACAAGTAATTTTATTGTAATATATCTTATTGCATAGTATTAAAAGTAAAAAAAAAAATTAAAAAAAATGCACAGTTTATATTGAGCGAATTCAATTTAGCAAAGCAGGTAGATATACTTGCCAAACAATTAAACATGATTGATTAATCCACAAGTAAAAACTAATTATGCTCATTCGGGGCCAGTTTCACTAACGTCAGTTAAACTTATCCGTCGATTAACTTTATCACCAAAATAGCCAACAGCAAGACTTATGCCCGTATTCATAGTCAGATTTTGTACTTATATAAGGGTTCCTTAAATTTATCTTTAGATGCTCAGTAGCCAATGAAATAATTCGTAGAGTATCTGAAGATAAATTTAAGGAAGCCTTATATATAAGGCCTGACTATGAATATGAGTGTTAGACCCAGTTTCACAACTCACAGATAAGTCTTAACCGAGGTTCAACTTGTTTCTCATCTCTTTCAAATTCTAGAAAATATATATTCATTTAGGCGTTGTAAAGAGAGAACGAAGATGCTAAGTGCAAAAAGTGCAAGCAACGCGACAGACCTATTATCAATACAGTGCATGAAGTGCATGTAAACTCGCACTTATGCATTACCGGTTGTGTGTCGAGTATTGATGTGTGACATATTGCCTTGTAATATTTACCTCATATTTCAGTTCTAAAATAGTAAATTATTAAATGTGAAAATGATTAAATTGACGCAGGATATTGATTTGGAGAATTATACGCTCATCTTACCATCGGTAGCGGTCGGAAACGTTGGACAACTGTCTGTTGACTTACTCATTTCGAATCTTAACCTTCCAAAAGTCGGTCAAATTTTTAGCGCGTCATTCATACCTATCGTTGGCGCAAACGCTTATCATGAGCATTCGAATGAGCTTATCACGGCGATTGATATTTACGCGGGGATCAAGGAACGTATTGTCGTTATACAGATCCGATCGCCGTATGTTGGCGAACTTTTAGAATTTTTCAACGAAATTACGCAATTTGTCACTGAGAGAAAAATAGCTAAAGTAATATTTTAATTCTGTACGCTTTTAATAATATTGCAATTATCTTTATTTTACGAAATTTTTTTTCACAGGTAATAATTCTTGCAAGCAGTCATGATTATGCGAAAAGAGAAGTCCAACCGCAGCATCTTAAGTTGAGATATGTTGCCTCTCCTAATATACAGTCTCAGACTGGTAAACTCTTTGATGACCTCAACTGGATTCCGCATAAATCAAAAGACGTGACTGGAGAAGAAAGATTGCAGATACCAGGGGGTGGATTTGCTAAAAGCATCTTTAACTTTCTGTCCAATGCTGACATTCCTTGTGCTATCTTGTTCAAATTCTGTTCTGAAGGGGATAATATAGAAGACGCAATAGCTCTGGTGTGCTATTTAAATCAATGGATATGTATATTAGGAACAAGCAGTAGTAATTTGAAGTATCCACCATCTTGGAAACACTTATTTGGGAAGCCACCATCACAGGATATGTATTGATTGTATCTGGATATATTTTGTACTATTTTGTTAATCTTAAAATAATAATATTTTTTCTATGGGTATACAAGTGTATTGATGTAATATTTGAATGTAATATATAATTTAGAACATTTTTCATATAATTTATATGAAAAATATTATAGTATTTATATATATAAAAAAAAATAACTAACGATATATGTTTAAAAAAACTTAATTCCTTATGGTTTAGATGTGAATGCAGTAAATTGTAGTAAAAGCTTATAGCTTTATTTCACTTGCGCTCGCAACACTCTTGCAATCATTTCCTTTTTGTTTACCAAATATTAAACAAGAAATTGATATGAGTTTTGTGAGCACCAAGTAAAACGCATCCTATGTACATAATGTAATGTATAATTTAACTTCTTTAATTTGAATATATAAAAATATACAAATAATTTTTATTTTGTTAAATTTTATTTCTAAGAAAAATAATACTTATTCAAATATTTTATTAATGTTTATTTTTTAATAACAAAAAATATTCTACGCTAGAAGTTTGTATTTTGCAGAAAATGCCGAATAGGATACAAGAATAGCTAAGAGAGCGGCTAAGAATTCAGAGTTAACCCAAGGACCGAGGAAAATTCCCGGATTATTTAGAACAACTACTGCTAAGGGATTTACACTATCAGGATCTTCTCCATTCCTTATTGCTTTACGAACAGCGACATATTTTTCCTCGTCATATAGTTTTATATAATAATCACCAGACCTTGCTTTCTTGATATCTTCTGTCCAGGATATCTATAGCACAGGCAAAATAGTTTCATGAGTATTAAATTATCATTGATGACTTTCATGTTAATCAGAATATCGTGTTATCATTGATGATTTTTATTTAAGTACTAGAAGAAGTTAGATAATTTCAAATTCAATATTCAATTAACAATTTGAAGTCGAAATAAGTAAATTATTAAATATCTCTAAATGTTATTATTTTTATTCGATTTGTCGCACATTTAATTTATAATTTTTGTATAATTCAAATGTATATTTGATTCACTTATGTTAAGATAAGCAATGTTAAAAAGTATGTGTATATATTACCTGATATTTATTATCGGCGCTCAGTCTGACTGCTGGCAATGTCTTGCCCTCGACTTCGGCATACAAACTGATTCCTTTTACACCGTTGTTGCACTTCAACACGAACTGCATGGTAAAAGCGACATTCGTGAGGACTGTAGCATCTTCCGTCACATATGATGATGCGACAATCTCAGGTTTTTGACAAGTTTCAGCGAAAGCCACAGAAATGAAACTCGTTAACGCGCACAAGAAAAAAACTTTGTTCATCTTGGAAGTTTTGATGTTCTTTCCAACAATTTTAACAACTGTTTATGATGAATATTGGTTGGAATGTGCGCCTTCCAACAGTTCCAACGTGCGCCAAGTATGCCAATAATATAATTCCAACCGGCCACCTACCGACCTAACATGCCACGTCGATACACGCAACGCTTACATGTCGACACGCCGTCTGGTGAACAAACGTGAAAAGTGTTCATCTGGGAATCGATTTATTTTTTTAAAACGAAGGAGAAATTATAAATGTGAGCAAATTTTTTAGGCCAATAAAATTATAAATATTCTGAATTAAGTATTTTAAATATTCTGAATTTGCTCACATTCTGATTTTCACCTCAATTTAAGATAATAGAGATAATATCGAGTATTGCCCAATTTTTTTTCTATTTATACTTTTTTAAAGTACTATTTTCTCGACTATTTTATAATTTACATTGCTAATGAATAATAGTTGAATATAATGAATTCATGCTTTTGAATCTAATCATTCAATTACATTTAATTGCAGGGATGAAAAGTTATTTTTTACATATTATGTATTACCTTACATGTGTTAAATATTATAAAAATTAATTATAAAAAGTAATACGAAGTTTGAACAAATAAAACATAATAATATAACGACAAATAAAGTACCCGAATTTTTGTACTTAATTTCTAAAAAATAAATACGTATAAGGTAACCTAAAAAATAAGATATGTGAGCAACTTATAAACTAATTTTTCCAATTCTGTTTAATTGTATTCTAAAATTCTAAATATTTATCAATTGTTCGGCTACAATTGTGATCACGTAGTTTCACGACTGTGTCTAGGGTTGCGTTCCAAAATTCAACTCTGTCAACTCGAATATCATTTTATCCTTGTTGGTCACTGAATGTTGAATAAAGAAAAATATTCGGAGTTAATAGAGTCAAGTTTTGGAACGCACCTCAGTGAACCACGTGAGATGATGTAATTCGCCATAACCTCAAATTAGAAAATGTACATTGATACACATGCATTATTTGCATGAAAATATTTGACTGATAGTATAATAAATTTTAATGTGATTAATATTTATTTATTCAGATTTATTTCTATCGTATCAATTTTCCTATTTGCGACTATGAAAGTTAAGAATGAGAATGAAGGGAAAAAGGATGAAAGTGGTATTAGCCAAGGAGCAGCCTTGGATAATGAAGATTTATGGGGATCTGATATGTATCCAGAAAGGAGAGGAAGAAAATTTCAGCACAGTTGGTTTAAGTATTTACTTGGCGCTGAGGGACGTGAATCATTAGACAAAAATCGATGCGAAAACAATGTTTATAAATGTATAAAAGAAAGTAAGATATCTCTTATTTATATAAGAAAAAATAAAAATTAAAGTGTTCTTCGCAAACTTACTTTTGATGCCTTATTAATAGAATTTATGTATTAATTTAATTTGCTTGTATTGTATATAAATATAACATTTATTATTTTATTTTTTGTTTTTGATATAATTAAATTTAATCTCATTTTTTTCATTATTTATATATCATTTCTAGGTCCTATAATAAAACTTATGATGGGAGCATTGAGGAGTTCTGGATGGTTTGTAATTTATTTTTTATGATATATATATTATGTATAAATCTATATTTTTATTTCATTATTGTTTATTAGACTATTATTAGACATTATTTATTAGATTATTATTATTATTATTGATATTTCAGTGAAGTAGATATTCGACGACATATTTCTTGTGAAGTGTGTAATCCAATTGTAACTGGTGGATATGATTCAGAATTTAATCAGGTAAATACTTTTCCAAATTGCTTGGCTAAATTTCTTTGGGTTGCTAAATGTTTTACTAATGAAATATTTTGTATTATATTTCTATAAGAAATAGATTCTTTTAATTTGCTGTACATTAACCATAATTATGCATGCTATATACAAAATTATTTTCTTTACAGATAGTTATCTGTCAAAATTCAGCATATAATGAAAACATGGTTCGAGCAGTTCTTCTACATGAAATGATTCATATGTTTGATTACTGCCGTAATAAGTTAGATGTGAAAAATATTGATCATCTAGCCTGTACAGAAATTAGAGCAGCAAATCTTGGACACTGTAGTTTTATGAGTTCACTGTTACAAGGCGATTCGTCTTTTATTAATATAAAAGCAACACATCAGGTAGATATTATCAGATTTTAAGAGATTGATTTGAGTGATTATATATCTTTCCTTTTTCTTTCTTTTAGAATATATTTATTCTTATATGAGCGTTATTTCTAATTTCAAATTTTATGTTTTTATACAGAATTGTGTAAAGCATAAAGCATTACTGTCAGTAATGGCTGTGCACAAAGTATCAAAAGAAGTTGCAGAAGCAGCTATAGAGAGAGTTTTTACAAAGTGTTATAATGATTTAGAACCAATTGGCAGAAGAATTCGTAGAAATTCATTTGATATGCCGAGAGCATATGCGGAAGGACATTTATATGGATATGACGTGTAAATATTTAAAAAATTGTATGAAACAATTATACATAATAGTATAAATGCAATAATAGATACATATTTTGTTTGATTATATTTACTAGTATTTATTAAAATTAACATCATATGATAAATTCTATTTTTTATCCACATTTAGTCATTGTTTTTTTCATAGCAAAAGCATAGAAAAGTTATTTTAATAATTTTGTGTATGTACTTATATATATATATATATA